TGCTCTTCCTACTTAGTTATGTGTTAGTTTAGCTTCATTGTTACCCTTAGAAGTCCACATTCAGTTGTCAGTATTTTTTAGCGAGCTGCTACAATTTTCTGTGACTGTACGGGTTGCTATGTTTAGTCATAAGAAGGACAGGTTTTCGAACGTTTTTATGCCCACGTCGTTTTTGGTGCCATATGCTAGTTTTATGGGAGCACCACAGCGGCTTGGCTTTCAACTCTTACTTATGGCTGTTTTGCTTTAAGTCACTTTTCTTTGACGGAAGCAGCTTTCTGCTGTTGCTTCAGTATGGTGTTTTTAGTTTTTAAAACCATGTTGCAACGTGTTTTAGAGCCTCCTGCTGCATTTCAGTTCTTTTTTCAGATTCGCTGCCACTTTAGCTAGCTTTTATTTCCTCGATCAATTCTTGCGTCTTCTAGTTTTGTTATAGGTCGGGAAACGAAAGTGAGTTCCCCCTTTTACCGCTTTGAGTCCTGCATGTGTCACAGCTGAGACGCATTTACCGTACGGTTGATTTCGATCATGGTGTTGTGCTCTACATGTAAATGTATTCCGTAAAATATTCCATTGCAGTGTAAAAAAATTTGTACCTCGTTTGATTAAATTATAACTGATGAAACGTTTCTCATCCAGCATAAATCGTTCAGCGATGAACACATCTCATTTGATTAATTACTGGAATCGTGAATTTGTTTTGCCATTTTTAGATGAAAAAAAAAAAAAAAAACTAGCCGCTTTTGTTGTTTCCAAGCTAACTATTTAGCATCGAGACTTCTTCTGAAACTTTAATCCCTTACCAAACAATATTAGTCACCGAATTCTTTTTAACAGCCAAATTGCTTATTTTTTTGAGGTGGCTTTGTGCTATTTGCATGATTCGTGGGAACAGGCACTTCAGAGTAGCGAAATGCGTTGTTCAACATGAATGTCCTGCAGAGAAGATTCTTTCATTCTTCATTACCGCTTGCAAACAAAGCCTCTTCAGGATTCGGACGTTCAGTAAAGGTGAATTTTCACTTTTATCGACTGCAGTCGTGGACTTTTGAGGTTTTGGCATAATTTTCCGGAAGTTTAGGCGAAAAATTGGCAGCATTCGGCACGAAGTCCGCCAACTCGAATTATGGAGGAGGTTAGCGAATGTCTCGGTGGAGCAAAGGAACAAAATTTCGATCATTTCCTTCTGCTTGACTTCGAGGCTACATGCGAAGAAGGCAGGAAGATTC